CTGGCGCCGCCCCGCTTAGGCAAGGGCTAAGCAGGGGTCGGCGGATAATGTATAGACTCTTAAGATAAACATATATAGAGCCTGGAGGACGCTTTACAATGATCTTTTGTTTTTGTTCATCTTAAGAGTCTTGAGATTGGGAAGAGAACTTCCTGGCGGCCAGGGTCCGCAACACCGGTACACCAGTAAAGGAGAAACCCTTCGAGGCATGAGGACTCATGGCGTCGTGTGAGATCGAATGTCAGAGCTCAGAGCGTTTTGGATCTACCAGAAGCATCCTTTCTGAAAGAGATGAATGCCAGGCACGGGCACTGCCTGTAGCACTAAGCACCAGAAAAAACACGTGACATGAGCAAAAGTGATGGTGGATGTGCAATGTTGAATGGGGGGACTTCACATGCATACTCCGTTTTTACTCTCGATTTCATCGCATACGTGCTGAACCATCGCCATGTTCGGCTCGGAGGATCTGACGATTCCTATGAATAGTCCTTACGAGCAACGGGTCAATGAATGCTGCGGTTGTTTCTTCATTCACCACTATGACGACTATGACGACTATGACGTCTGAAATGTTTGGATTTGATGAAGTGCATTGGCAAGAGAACATATTAGGACATTCCTAGCACTTCCAACGGGTGCCCTGTCTGGAGACCTGTAAGTAGGGTGGGGTAGTCTAGCCAGGACACCCAGACAGGATGACCCTGGTTGGTTCAGCTTTGCCCAGTGGTATCATGGCAGCCCCATGATGTTCAACGTGACATGTCGACTTGCACGTGGCAGTGGGCGAAGGGCTCAGGGAGCATGCCCTTGGGTGTGTTTTTTGCCCAATGAGGGAGACCCAGTTCAAAAGTTCCTGGGTTTGGTTCGGGAAATAGACCAGTTGACCCAGCCAGGGTTGATGGGGTGTCTCCCTATTCAACTATGCACCCAAACACTCTTGGCTGGTTGATGGGGCTAGGTCTCCTTGGTCGTTGGTGGCTCGCCATGTTGGCATGACGATACTGCCAAAACATAAGGATGATAGGGCACTATAGTCTATTAGTGGTCCCCAAATAGATAGAAAAGTAGATCCCGTGCACTCAAAATGTATACCGTTTCTATATATGTTGGGGACCACTATATACAGTAATGTGGCAACCAGGATCAACCAGAAGAGACTTCGATTCCAACTCACATTTTTTCGTTTGTGGCTGTTTTTTTTGAGGGAAGGCTGCTGGTGCATGGTGGACAGCCGTCCGTGCCGTCTTCCGTTGGTGGGCTGGTCTTCAGACATCGGACTTGAAGACCGTCCGATGTCTTCAGGTCTGGGTCTGGGTTTGCAGACGCTCGGACGTCCCACATACTGTATTTCTTCGGGCGCAAATAGCCACGAGGAAGACAGAGCTCACTGGCTCCGACCGATGGAGCTGGAGCTGGGATCGGATGCCATCATATCACTGACATGGTGAATCCAGAATCCAGGATCGATTCTGGAACCAGGATATTGCTCAGAGATCCAAGATCAAAGACGATATATAGTTAGTCAAATATAGGATCATGGGATTCGATATCACTCGTATCACAATCGATTCTACCACCACTGGGATTTTGTAGAGTTATATATTGTGACTCAACGTTTTCACCTGACCCTCTATAGCTTGAACAACATGATCAGGGTGCCCTTTTTGCGACCCTGTTTCGGAGTAGATGGAGTGGACGGGGCCGCAGGCAGTCACATGTGCTTTGAGCGGCCGATGGCCTGATGTTCAGCACATGGCGGGGTTGCCTGGGTGAAGGTGTGCTCAGTGAACATGGACTTTTTCGCGTCACGAGTCAATCCATTTGGCGGTGGCTGTTACGGCTGAAGATGAAGGACCCAGTGGCTAAAATGCCGATGGCCTTTTGTATGGTCTCTTTGGAACCTGTTCTTTCCTTTTTTGCAGACGCTTATAGACGAGGTAATGACTGCCACTGGGAACAGAGTTGATTCCAACCTTTCCGCCACCTAGTAGAACCATTCCATTCATCCTCAATTTGTCAGTGTGATCTCTGAGAATCACACCTCTTTTGAGCTTGACATTCTTCTTTTGACACCGTGAGGTATTGAATACCCGGCTCACCACAAGAATAATTGCTTCCACTGGCTGGAATCGATTCACGGGAAGTGACTGCAGGTGACGGACCTAGATTTGGGGTTGGAAAGATCTTCTTGACGACCACTGAACTCAGCGAGAGGAACTGTCAATCCTGACAGGTTTTTATGGCAAACAACCGGTCAGTGCACGGTGGACTCGCTACTGATTGGTGCCATTTGCTTGGGACCTCCACCTGCACTCTTTACTGCTGAACCAATTTGCACTTCTGAAAGTCTTGCAGTCGCAAGCAGGTCATAGGGACTGAGAAGACGGAGCAACTCCGATTTTTCGGGTGTTTCGACCAAACGCATTGCTCGACAGGCCGGCCGCACCGCATTGCTCGACGCCGCAGCTATTTTGGTTTTACATTCAGAGACGTGACCGTGCCCGCGACCTGAAAATCAGTGGCTTGTCCGCGGAAAAGGGAGATTGGCCGGAATTTGATTGGCCGAATACTCTGAACGATGATGCGAAGGAAGAAAGGATGTATATGTTCCTGTATATAGGGGTCTCTAGGGTTTGTTGCTGACATTCCGGAGATTAGTTTTGCCTGCCCTTGATACAGCCTGATGAGTAGCCGGATGAACATGATGAACACAACTGGGCAGAAAAGCTGCTCGCCAGAGACCTTCGATGGTACAGGTTCCAATCGATGGTACAGGTACCTGCCATCCGCTGGCTCGTCTGTGGCAAAGAATTCGGACCGAAATGCATTGGTTCGGAGTGTGAATCTAGTGCAGTCTTGTTGAATCGTGGCCGGAGCCGTCGAAGGACAGGACGATCGTTCGTCACTCCGCCCAACTCCAGAAGGTTTCTCCCACACAACTCCGGTTCGACCAACTGAAGGACGTCTAAAAATCCAACAATATATATTCATCCAATCATATCCAATCCAAAGAAGCTTCCCAACTGGGGAACGTCATTATTTGTCCAAAGAATACAACTACCCCCACGATTTTCCTCCTTTTCCTATTGAAACCTCGTCACCCCGTCTCACCTCGTCCTGAGAAATGGCCTCGTATCGGCGATCGTCTTACCTCGCCGATCGCATCTCCCCCATTTCAGCAACCATGGACCGGATCATGTTTCTATCTTCCCAAGGAGGATGGGTGCCAACCAGTCTACCGTGAAGGTCAAGGACGGCTGGGCAGAAAGAATCCGACTGGGCTTCCCAGGAACCACCAATCGGCCTCGGTCGATGGTGTTTCTTCTTTTTGTCAAGGTTAGCATTCTGTGCACTTAGATGCAGTGAAATACATGTGATCGGGACAAGAATCCTGCAGCATCCTGAGGCTTCTTTTTTGCCACTGACAGTGGTTCATGGTGGAATGATGTTGATCACGAACACAACAACTGATACTTAACACAGTCCATCCTTCGGAGTACGGACCTGGGAAGTTCCAGGTATGATAGCGTAATATCAAAACCTCGTTGCTAATATATATATATATATATGTCTCAAAACCAAACCCACCCACCACACACGACTATATATATATATATATTGCCTCGTGCTCGTGAACCCCTGGCGTTTCTCGTTGCTCGTTTGCCGGGCGGGACTTCTCGTTTCTTCGGTGTGATCCAGGAGGGCGAGACCGCCATCACCTATACCTACACGGATGAGGCGCGGAACCGACGGTGTCCCGCAGAATGCGGGGTGGACAAGAAATAATGGCCTGTATATTAGAATCCGCTTTAACTCATTAATAACATTTAACATCATTTAACCCGTTTTGACTACCAGCTCACAAATAGTTATGGTTTGTTCCTATCTACAAGTAGGTACCAGATGAGTTGTATTTGGATGTACGTATTTGGGTAGTATAGCTGTTTGTTGTTTTGCTGTATGGAGATCCTGAAGATGTCCAGTTGCTAAATCACATCGTAAATCGTGCGTGAAGACTACTGTCATTTGTCCCATATTGGTTATTGCTCAATGGGACGCCGTGCTTGTGAAACATCAACGAACGGTTCCAGTCCTTTGCCCATGTTCAGTCCCTTAAGGTTTTTATAGTCACATATTTCAACATCTCCATTGTTGTTTATAGTACATCAAAGCGGTTTCTTTCGCTTCTAAAGTATGTTTGCACTTTCATGGAACATCTAAACAAAAAGAAACAACACAGTGCTATACAAGTGGTGCTGGGTGCCCTGAGCGCTATACATACTCTCTCTACTGTATTTGATAGTTCCTGGCCTTCTATTCCGACTTATTTGACTTGTTCGATTCTATACCGTTGTGACAAGTTCACTGCCTTGTCCACTCACCTGGTCAGCGACCCAAGAAGCACCACCCCACGAGACGGTGGTCCCGCGACAGAGATCGGACGGTGGATGTTGGCTCGGATTCTGTTTGGATCCACGGCTTCCATATGTGGTCAGGTTTGGGAACCGTCTACTTCCCCTTCTGACCAGACACGCTGGGTAACACAGCAAAGTTGATCAACATGTTTCTCCCCTGGTGACTGGATGAATCCAAACAACATTGAACAACAAGAAGAGCACACCATGAAGCAACAAGAGTTGCAAGCCGGGCTTTCTGATGGGTTTAGGACTTTCCATCGTCCACCGTGCCAAGAAGGCTCGGATTTGTTGGTTCGAAACCGGTTCCATTGCTGCGCCTGACAGGCGCCGATGCTCGCCACCCATGCCTTCTATCCCATCATCCAGGCAGCCGAACAAAGCCGGAGAGTAGAGACCAAATCAGAATTGGAGTACATGATAGTACACACTGGAGTCCTGAGAAGAGTCGAAATCAGAATCTGTGTTTTTTGTTTTCAATTTGTATTTAGAACTCTCTTTATCACGAAAGGTAGCTTGAGCTACCTGAGTTCTCCTTGCTTTAGCAAAAATGTATTACAATCAGGAGTTGGGATTGTGCATTGAATTTGGTTCTGTAAGAGTTGATTCTGTTCGTCGGGGGGGGGGGGGCCCCCCCTGGATCAAATCCCCCCTGCGCCGGTTCACGCCGTCATGGACTTCTACCAGGGTTACTTGTGATTGCCTGCTACCTTTCGTTCACCCCCTCCTCTCTCAAGTGATAGGTATCGTTGCTGTGCAAGATAATGATCAAGGAGAATCTAGAACATACCCTCCCGAAGATTGGCGGTCCTCGGATCGTTTTTGTCTTTCAAAACTGTTCAACTGGCGTTAGATCAGAACACCACTCTCAAACATAGGCCTCATCTAAGTGGCGTACAGAGGAAGTTGATGTTCTAAGCGACGAGTGGATTCACCCTGTTGCATATAGGGTGATTAGAGGCTTGGCCAGCCCTTTTTGATGTTTGTTGGTTTTCAAATTTGACAGATCAGTCTATAGTATAGGTGAGAGCATTCCTTTTGCCACCGAGATTGGGTCAAAAGGGCACGTTTGGGCTCATCCGGATCATGGGTATCTCCCATGGTAAGCCCTACGTATGATTGTCCATGCTGGTAACAATCTGACTTTTTCAGGTAGAAGTGGATCTTCCTCTTGTTACAAACATCTCGTTTCCACTGTTCACTCACCAGATAGCCAGGTCAGAGTTGTTGTGGGGCGCTCTAGGGACAAGGGTCACCTGTAGAGGAAGGTAGTTTTGAGGCGTCCACTTATGGATGATTGTTTTCTGCTCAGATGAGTGTTTTTTGAGGCGTTTACTTCGAACTCGTCCTTCAGTATAGGAGTGGCATCCACTCATGAACTCATGAAAAAACCTGTTGTCCTCAAAAACACCCATTTCGTCCAGTCCCACAGGCAGCCAAGCAGAGAACACCGAAAAACAGCAGGCCTTTTGCTCGCAAGCGAAGATCCCTGTGCAGCTGCGGGACATCTCGGTGGCGGGGCGTTTGCTCTCGTACCCCGGCGGAAAGGGCTCGGACCCCCGAGGACCGACGCACCGACGGAACACGGCGAACAGACACCTGTGACACACCCTGTGCGCTGAAAGCAGTCGGGGGATGGGACAAAGGAGTCGGACGTCGCCCGAGCGGAAGCGGATGCGCAGCGAACAACGCGAAAAGCGCACGAGAGACCCAGGGAGAATGTTACAAGGAAACAGCATGAAAGCGATGAAAGAGATCAACAGATCTTTTCAGATGTGGCTGAGGGTAACGCATAATATAGCAGAATACGATATAATATGCATAGACTTGCATAGAAATTAATATATGCATCATATCATAGTCCATGATTGTTTCGTTGTGTTCTACTTTTCATAGGACACCCCGGTGTCGGGACACCCCCGATGTCGGCCCACCGGGTTGCCAAGGCACTTCCCCGACTACTTAACCGACGAACAGAAGAAGCAACCGCTCACTGAGGCAGTGAGTTTTCATGGCGGATGGACTGACGTGACGGGGCTTGGGTGGTCGTACTCCCAGGGCGACACAACAAATATACAAATATATATTGGCTTAAGCTTATTGAGCACACAAAGATATATGTATATATATATATGAGATATAAGATAGTTATAATATATGTTCTAAACACTGAAAAGAACACTCGGGGTTTTGTTTGGCCACATTGCGAAGACCACTGAGACCACCTCACCTTTGTGTTTTCTCTTGCTGACAACGCTCAGGGGCTGCCCGGGCAAGAGACCGATCAGCTAGCGGCCTTGGGCGAGATGGCCAAGGGCGGAAAGGCCAAGTGGGGAGGTCATTGTTCAGCAAAAGGAGCAATCGCAGCTGTGCAAACTGGATGAGATAATGAAGATGGTGATGGATTGCTTTGTCGTTCTGTTTCATGTGCGGTGATTTGGCGTTTGTCCCAAGCTGGTCGCTTGCAGGAGAACCGAGGAAGGGTCAATCAACATATATATATATATATTGAGATCTATGCAAGGTTTTCTTGGGGTTACAGGCTCAAGGGGCTTTGACCTTCATCCATATATTTGATCTCAAGTGCCTCTCCAAACAGCACACGGTGCTTTGGCCGCAGTCGAAATTCCTCGCCAGGCGAACATCATCAAGCTCCCCAATGTGAGTGCCTCCCTTCCACAGCTCAAGGAGACCCGGTTCGGTGAAGTGACCTGTCACCTAGGACCCGTCACCTGGGGTACCTATGGAATAGCCGAACTAGGGTTCTTCAACCTCTGGCAACTAAGCCCGGTTCGTGGTGAACCTCTGCCTAGCTGCCCAATTAGCGCGTCAGCGAAGTGTTCTGACAGGGATGACAATAGAGGTCTAACTAAGCGACGGTCAGAAGTGGTGGTTTACAGTTTATCGATATATTGCAGTTGGTCCTTGTTTTTTTTGGCAACTAACCAATGTGACAAATGTCATGTGTCAGTTGATCAGGTCTCAGGTCTCTGGGTTTGGAGTTTTGGTGTTGGTTTCAGCATGCAACCAGCGTAGGGTGGTTGATTCTCGATCCAGTCTTTGTGTTCCCTTGACACATGCAGCGATGATCTCAAAGGAAGCTTATAGTTCCTGATGTCTTGCACCGTGTCTGTGGGCAGTAGGTGAGTGACTGATCCCTGCCTTATCAAATCTTGTACATACCGATACGCCGATGCTGCTCGGTGTGGTTCTCATCACGCCCATCCCAACTTTCACAGGCAATCCCAACCATCCCAAACAACCTCAAGCCTTGGTACTCTACACTGTACACTCCCTGAACAGTTGGCTGGGCTCGGCCCCTTCTTCGAGTCGCTGGCTTTTCGATTCTCAGCCTAACCGGATTGGCAGACAGGAGTGCATTGCTGAATTGCAGCAGAAAGGCTTCAAGGTGGGTGGCGTTCACCAGCAGACGCGTGAAACGACCATCCCGCGCGATGGCAGATCAGGACGCCGAACTGTCTCTCAGTAGTTCCTTTCGGGGTGACGAACTTGGAGTGGCAATTCTCTACCAGTCACATCCACTCCCTCCAAGTCCTCCCGGGTGCGGAACTAAGTCCCAACTAAGAGGGCTCGGGGTGCCGGCGCTTCCGAACGGGAGAAAGTCGGTGTGGGAGGGCGTTTCGACTGTCTCATCCACTGGAGGGGGGAACGTCCTCATCCACCACCGCCGCACCGTCAGTGGAAAACCGACCCATCTTAGCCGTCCAGCTCTGATCGTGCGCAGCTCGGATCGTGCGCAGCTCATGCTCTGAGTCTTTGAGGATGATACATAGATGAACATCATTGAACATACTTGGACCCACTGGAGTTGGGTGGTTAATGGACACCCAGTTGGACACCCCTTAACATCTAAGGGGCCTATCAAAGGAAGTTTCTTAGGGTGTTCTGGTAGGGTATGCATATAATTTGGTCCTTCGGGAGACCAACCAAAGCAAGACCATCCACTGGCTGCTTGTACTAAAAACCTGAAACATGATTTGTTTGGTAAAGACCACACTCAATGGTGCTTAGAATCTTAAAATCTTGTGGAGGCAGTTCAAGGAGTTGTTTTTGTTCACCTACTGAGCACTCACTTGAACTAACCCATTTGCAAGATCTTGGTTTCTGATGAACAGTAATGACATACTACACTCAACATGGAACCATCCGACAAACCAAGCACATCTATGCCCATCCGAAGTCTAGTTCGACTATATTTTGACCTGTCTACTTCAGTAAAGGAAACTGAAATCGGGTCACCTAGTCAGACCATTCTTTACTGACTGGTGCGACTCGTAGGGAATAAGGGAATGAGCCCCCAATAGAGATTCTATTGGATCCAGCCACCCTCATTCCCTACGAGTCGCACCAGTCAGTTTATAGTCTTTCACTCCCAGGGTATGCCTAAGAGAGCGGCGACCAAGCGATGGGTGCTCCCCCGACCAGATCCCAAGCTACCCCGAAGAGCCCAAAGACGACGCCGAGAAGGAGATCAAGGCGAAGACCGGACGGCAGCGCACCATGACAGCTATAGCTGTTAGTTGCATAAGACTCAGACCTGAGGCGGTATAAAATCTATTTATATAATGTGACTCTTACATTTTGATTTAAGGATGGTTTGGGATCATAGAATGAGAAGGACTGGAGTTGAAGGTTCTTCCAGTCCTCCCATTCTCAGAACTATTCAGTACCGACGGCATAGCAAATATATAATATGATCACGACCCATGATCAGGGAAACCCAAAGTGGCACGAAACCTCCCTGTATAGGCGTTTGTTCCAAAGTATATATAGCGTTGACAGGGTATATCGCACTCTAAGATCTTGAAGTAAAACCCCGATGAAACTAAACTGACTGATTGGGATTCGATTCACATGAACCTCCGCTCCCCCTCGCCTTTTTCAGGAAAATCTCCAACCAATCGCTTTCCCGCAAATCCCTTTCTTTGTGCCCCGCCTTCCCCAAGTAATTCCGCGCGAATCACGTGGCCACACCGCGCGCGCGCGGAACGACCGGAGGCGCGCTACGCCAAAGTCACGGGCAGTGCGGTGAACCCGGTGCTCCGCGAGGGGAACTCCGACCGCCGGGCCGCGGTGCCGGTGAAGGAGTGACTTGGTCGACGAGCGCCCAACACGACCAGCGCCAAGCGCGACCAGCCCAGCGCTTGGCGCGGGGCTCCGAAGGTTTGGGCGGCTGGTGGGTAGTACTTGGTAGTACTGGTGTTTTTGGCCTGTAACTCCTGTGAGGGTTGGAATGGGCTTTTCCGCAGCTTTTCCTTTGAAACGTGTTGACGTGTTGAAATCTCCACCGGTCACACCTGGAGAATGACGAGTTTGGGAAAAGAACAACGCGACAAGGGCCGGCACTGGAGAACGGTCAGCAATCCTGTGGATTGACCATGTTTTCTTTCTTTTGATGTCCTCGGGGTGGCTCTGGAGAACGCGACAAGCCAGGGTGGCTCTGGTTCCATCAGAAATGTCATGGCATTTGGGTTACAGCCAGCATTGTGTGTGTGTTGTTCTCTGTCATTTTGTTGTGTATGTGTGTTTGCGATGCTAGAAGAGGATAGCAACAAGTCAACATGCCGGGATTCTTGATGAACACCTTGAACTCAAAACCACTAGTGACAAGGTAATCGTTTGGATACTGTCGATAGAGCACATTCTGCAACTAGTTGTGCCACAAAGCCTTTCCTCAATGATTAGTACGATGGATATTGTTGCAACTCGCCTTATTGAACTATTGGAACACTTGCTACTGATTTGTTGTTTGGCTGGTTAGCAAGGAATTGACAGTCTTGTTGTTTTCCGACGTTCCAGTATCTCAGGAGTTCTAGTGTACGTTGTATGTTGTGCACACTTCATGTAAAAGACCCAGGATCGAACATATCCAAGCTCTTCCGTGCAATCGATTTTTTGAAATCTGTGTGTCACCACCGTTCCACCACCTTCCCAGAATTGTTTGGACATGCTCGATGAAACCACCAAAACACCCCAGGTTCGCAAAAAAGACCTTCAGTGCAGTGACTCAGTGGTCCAGGAGTGAGCCAAAATGTCGCAAGGTCTGCGGGTAGTGTTTTTGTTCCTTCTCTGGTGACTCTGTTGTTTTTTCCTAGATGGTGTGATTCAAAAGTAGAGTGGTGGTTTTCATATCGCGGCCGGCCTTCCCCAAAACCGTAGATATAAGCATTCATTCCCTGGTGTTTTTAAGGTATGCCTTCAAGTATCCTCACTCCATGGGCAAGTGGGCTCCGGACTCTAAGACTCACGCACCTTGGCGTGCCATTGGTTGGGGCTGCGGGCAGAGCCCAACATGGGAGGGTCACTGGGGATGGGGATGAAAGCTGAACATTCATGTTTTACCAGGTCAGGATATATCATATATAATCTTAGAAGGTGATACATCAGCTTTATCAGGTCAGGATACCTCATATATTATTTTACCAGGTCTGGTTAGCACCCAGGTCATGGCTGCTAAGGTCCGGTCGCATGTGGACAGAAGCGATGGAGTCCGTGGACGTTGTTGACGTGTTTAGAGCGAACAGCCCAGATCCCTAAGGGGCATCTCCCACACCCAGCCGCCCGTGGCGTGGCTCCAAGCTCCTGTTGAAGGTCGTTGGGGGGGCCAGACAGTGGTGATGGCGATATCAAACATACACAGCCCTAGTCAAGTGGTGATGCTTTTCGCACCGTGCTTGTGCGATTCTGCAGATTCGTGGAAAAGCCACAGCGGCTTGGATTCTGCAGATACATGTCATTCATGCGTACGTTCGCCTCTCTGGGTCTGGGACTGCCATGAGTCTGTCGTTTGTCGGTTCGCCACCCTGCAACAGTCAGTAAATAATGTATAATTATGATCAACAACAAGTAACAAGGCCGACAACATAACCATCATCCCCTGAGGCCCTGGATAGATCATGATAGACCCAAACATTTGACACATGCAGACTCTTCGTTTCCTACGAGGTCAGCTCCATGGAGGATGGTGACTTCTTCTCCCATGAGAAATCAGCGCCTCGGTGGATGTGTGTGTGGATCCTGCCATCGCGGGATATGGAGGATAGGGGGGTTTGGTGCCTGCTTCATCCTGTGTCCCGCCAAAACAGATCAAAAACGCACGGGAGTGCTGCGTGACATTCATTCTATAATGATAATGTTACAAAGATGGTTATACCCGTGCTTTTTCCAGTGCAACGTCGGAAACTGGAAGATCTTAGTTTGGTGAGAAGACGTGAGCGGAAAGAATTTTTGGACCGTCCATGTTCTTTTTTCATGGACCGTCCATGAGAAGACATCAAAACATTTGTCACCCTGAACGGTCCATGGACCTTTGGGGACATCAACGCCCCCTCCCCCAGCCACATGGACTGTCCAAAAAGGCTTTCAGTTTGAAAGCGGCGCGCGATGGCAGGGCGCCTGAAAACCAGGGCACCTGTTTGCGGACCCAACTTCGATCCTGCGCAGGGGTAGGTGAAGACGGTGGTTTGTTGAAAACATATTGGAGTTGGACACCAGTTTCTTCAAAAGGAATGAACACAAATAAAAAACACACACATTTTGTTTCTGGTTTGGGTGGAAATTTTGGGTGGTGGATGTGTGTGTTTTTTAAATCCCTTTTGAAGAAACTTGTGTCCAACTCCTCGACTTGTGCCATCCAAGATTGAAAGCTTACTCACTTCTTGTGCAAGATTGAGCTTCAGAAACGTTTGATATCTACCCCTTACTGCCTGACCCGTACTGTTGATGGAAGGGCACCATAGGCACCCCCTATCCTCTTTACCTTCACAGATGTCAAAGAGGAAACCTGCTAAAGCCACTTCCCAGCTTCAGGGTAGTCATTTCGGAGTCACCCGGTTTGGGCCAAATTCGCCACCCAGCCAATGCGGACAATCCACATGTTACATGCGATTGGCAGGTGGTGATCCCTGAGAAGTGCGAAGCTCGCATCGAAATGCTGTCGGAGGACTGGACAAAATGTCCCGTGAGGCGCTTCCACAAACCCAGTCAGAAAGTGTACATTGCTTTCCCGCCAGTACACTTGCATAGCCCCACAGTCCACCATCCCCCCAAACAAGTCTCTCAATATCGTTCAATATCGTCTTTGTTGCTACCGGTGCGACGGGTACGTTTGTCACCCGCAGGATGGCAAGGTCACCGTGCTCAAGGACAAGCTGCCGCTGCAAAAGGATGAGGCGCTGGAACTCGGATGGAGAAGATGCAGTTTCTCTCGTGTCGGACAGACTAGATGAGCAGATGAGAAGGATGATCCGTGTGTGCTTTGCGTGGGGAGGGGCGCTCATGTCACCGTAGGTTTGGTTTTTTCTCTTTGTCACCGATCAGTTGCTGGGAGCTTTCGCTCAGTTGAGAAAGCTGGAGTGGGTGCTTCGGCGTTGGTTCGGCGCACCCGCTGCAGGGAGAATGCAGCCTGAAACAGGCCAAGGTGAGAAACTCGGATCACGGTAGGTTTAAATACAATACATGCGAATACCCCCACACATCTTCGTGTTTGGCATGCCGGGCATGGACCCCCAGACCTCACGTCTGCCACTACTTGGCATGCAAAACACATATTATATCACCAAATATCTCAGCAATTCCGAGGTTCAATACCCCCTTGGGCCCTCAGTTGGTAAGATCCAAGGGCCCCTCATTCGTGCTTTGGTCCTTCTCAGGAGGTACTTCTTAGAGGTCCCTGGAGCCCTAGAACGAAGGATTGAACATGGCCACCCGAAAACAACAAGACTAGAGGGACATGGAGAAGACATCCCCAACCCTATGGCCCAAACAATCCAGCGACCAATCGTGTGCGAGCATCAACCTGCATTATGGATGACCTTGGAACAAGTGCTCACTTCCCATGATCGATCTAACAACCAGTGGCATATAGAGCGCTCTCTTCGTCGCGTGCTCTGCGTGTGGCTAGACACGTCTGGTCGCCTCGTGCAGGTCCTGGACGCCTCCTTCATCAACTGCAAGATTCTCCGTCGCTTCTTTGAGGAGCAGATCGCCGATGCCAAGGCGCCCGAGACCAGTCGGCGCGTTGGGTCGCGCGGGCGCGGGCGCGTTGGGTCCCGCGGCGAAGCGGCGGACACCGCGACGGGTCAACTGGGGTCGCCGAGACGAAGGGTGGAACGAGAAAAGAGAGGAAGGAGAAGGTTTCATGCGAAGGGTGGAAGAAAAGGGAAGAACCTCCTAACCTCCTAACCTTCATCGGCTTCCTTCCTTCCGCCTTTTCGAACCCGTCCAACGTTGAGAAACCGGACGCCAGGGTCATGGTGTAGTCAGGTCACTTCATTGGCTTCTCTTGAGGTACTTAGTTGGCGACTGGAAACCGAACGGGGACTGGAACTGGAAATGGACACCGTTTTGATGTGTTTTAAGGAGTCAGTATATAATGTAGACTCTTGATTAATAAACCCCCCATATGAAGAGGATGTCCAATTCAATTGGGAGGGCTTACTAGTATATGTGGTTGCTTTTGTGTTCCCTTTTTGTGAGTCATGTTCACCCGTCAGACTTTGAGAAAGGCCTCTCTCGGTCGAGAACGCCAGGAGCGTGGCGTTCTCTTCTCGGTGCACTTGAAGGCCACCATGATGAAGGCCGGCAAGCGAGGGACCGGCCTTCACCAGCCCACGCTTGACCACGCCAAACCTTAAGGAATCATTCCGAAAGCATTTGAAAGCTAGGTAAAGATGATGGAAGATGACTTGGGAACAGAGTTAAGAAGATGGCTACAGGGCACCCATCCTTGCTATTCAAGTACCATCCTGGCACCCGGCCGGTGCTCAGATCTAACGACCATCCGATGATTCAATGTTCATGTGCCTTCTCAGCTGGCATGGGCTGGTGATCTTTTTTTGCCATCCCATCCTTGGTGGTGTTCAGGTTCTCGGACACAAAACTTCCAATGAAATTATTAATACATCCCACCCAACCACTCCCTTGAAACAATCCCTAATTATATGTGCTTTATGTGTTATTGTTGTTAACTGTTAACTGTTGTTAATTCTTGTTGTTTTTGTTTTTGTTGTTGTTGTTTTCATCTCTACTACCCTACCAGCGTGTCGACCCATTGGTGACTGACCGGATCCACACGCATCCGGTCGCGCCCTCGGGTTCCGATCCCATCGATGGGATCCTGCGCAGCAAGGTGTCAGACCCCATCATGTTCGGCCACTGCGTGAAGGCGTACTTCAAGGACCCGCCACGGCAGACGGCACGGCACGGCGGACTGAGACGGCTCGCGGTTTCAAGGTCCTCGCACGGCACGGCACGTGCCGTGGATGTGTTCTTGTTGGAACGCGGCTCGAAACGGAGAGGACGACGCCGCCGAGTGGACCACTTGGATTGAAAAGGAATCAGCAAGACAAGTCGGAGTATCCCAGAACAAGGGTGGAGGATTCGGATGGAAGTTGCATGAACTTCGTGACTTCGTGGTCGGACGGGTGTGGGAGATCTTCTATCAGCTGTAATGTTGCAGGTCGCCCAACGGGCTAATGTACTCAACGGAGGGTCGCCCGTTGGCTGTTTGGTTGATGGTTACCCTAGGCTATAGAGTACTGTTGGGCCACTGAGCCGGGTTTCTACATCAGCAGCTCGAGGAGTGAGAGAGGGCAATTCACCCTCTGGGGCCGGAGAGAAATCAAGTTTCAAGAAAAAGTGACATAAACCTATTCATCCCTGGGTTAGTGGACATCCAAAAGTCATCCGAACAGTCATCATGAGTGTGTTCATCAACCCCTTTCTCTTGGGTGGTTGGGGCTGAATGGGTTTGAGAGTTCCGTGGACATCGGACTTACAGATGATGACTGGCCAGGGTGGGCCCCGATTCAGAGTACGCGTTCGATCAGTTTCTTCTGCAAAGCCCGATTCGCTCAACAAGGCATCTCCCACACCTTCCATCAACTTCAAATTTCAGAAATGGACCCATTGAAGATGTCAAGTCATAGACCTTACTTCACATGTTCATCTGTTTTACGGCCTTAGTTTCTGCAACTCTTTTGTGGGCCCATGCCGTGATATCCGCGCAGGACGTCTTCGAGAAGCATGCTGACACCTTTGAGAAGCTCGGGGTGAACGCCAACAACGGTCTTGGTTTCTTGGAATTGAAACTTGCCCGGATCGCAGGGGTGTAACTGCCGGCACTGGTTTAGGAAGTCTTACAACATATTGCGAAGACAGTCATTCTATCATGTTCACACCAGCAACAAGGGTGCCACCAGCAAGACATTCCCATCTTTTGAAAGGACGAGTACCACTCATCCAGATGACATCAGCGCTGGAACACTTTTGTGTGTGCGTGCGGTGACCTACTCCATTTACTGAGTGTTTCATGTACGAATATACTGAATCAGTTCGTTGCCTAGCTTTGATCATCACGACGTGTCTGTAGCTGAGGGTCTTGTGCTCGCAGGTGACCTGTACAAGAAGATCGCCACCCTCCCAGCCGCCGAGAAGGAGGCACCGGATCCGAAAGGAGGTGATTCAGACACAGTCAGCACGAACAGGAATGCGGTAGGTGGTAGGTGGTACAGATTCTGAAGACAACCCCAACTCTTTTTTGGGGGGGGCAAAGCAGTAAGGTAGGAAAGCCACCGTTTTTTCCATTTGTTTGTTGTATTTTGGTTGCAAGGTACGCATTGTTTGTTCCTCCAGAGGCCCTACCTCTCGCCTCTGGAACAATTCCCCAGCCATCTCCAGGCAATTGAGGCTGACATCAAGGCAACTTACGATAAGCAACCACGCAGCTTGGTATGCGCAGTGCTGGCGTATGCGCAACATGTATGGCGTATGGGCCGTATGGGTGTGGGGTGAACAGAAAAAAGCCCAACTGTCCCAAGCAAACTGGAATCATGGCTCTTTCCACAAGACACGGTGAGTGTCTATAGACAAGCCTGTGAGGGGACTTCATGTTGCAACTGTGTGCCGCAGTTGTTCTGGACCTACAATATAGATTGTGGATGGTCCACAAGATGTAAATGGTCCCTCGACGAACTTGCACCATGGTCTCATCCACATGCACCACCGATTTTGGATGAACCCAATTTCCATTCCTGAGGGCAACCTCCAATCCCATGTGGAATATCCTTCATCGAAAACCATCCCCATTTCTTCGACTCCCTCTCGACCCAGACCGGTGGTTTTGGTGCAACGGCTGGAGCGGAGCGTCCAGGTATGGCCATGGTCGACTCGCACAAGGCCGGGTGCCGGTTCGACGGTGACGCCCGTGAGTATGCCGCGTATGCCACGGTGTGTGACGGTGTGTGAAGATGAAAGACCACGAAAAAACGGTTGGATGGGTGAAATGCGGATTAAATTGAATTGGAGGTAGCATTGGGCCCACCAGAAGTCTAAGTGGAATCGATTCTGCCAGTCTTGTGCAGTTTAGGTCTTCTCATGGTCCGTGTCTTGAGGCTATTATTCTGCTGTTCCTGAGACAGGAGTTCTGTTGGAGGTCCTATGTGTGATCGATCTTGCCTGCTTAGAATATATATATATATATGGATGTGTCTCATATATGGATCTATAGACTCATGCGATTGCGCATTTGTTTGTGTTCTTTTACCATTGCCTAGCTGCGTGGTACCATGTACTTCATTTTCTATCTCATTGTCTATCGAATATATCCAAAAATCGAATCAAAACTAAAAGTTTCACCGCGATTTCCCTTGCAATTTCCCATGATGTCCCTGACATCGGCCAGGGCATCACCAACCTCCACGTGCCCAGTGACATCATCATCGACAACTCCATGCCCACAGCCATCCGTGCGGGTGGCAAGTGTCTCGGATTCGTTCGTTTCTTCGGCCCGTTGGCCCGCCACCAGAGGGAAGGAGTCTGGGGTGGATAGCTAAGAAGAAACACGGAACCAGTACGAAAGAGTTCAACCAGTTTGCCGAACCCACTGGTATAGTACATACCTGGTTGCTGTATGTTGCTGTTCTGTTTGGTTCTCTGGTGCGAAGTTCGACCATGCCAATTTGGACTCCCACCGGAGACCGCATGACTCGACTCGCCACGCGTTGGACGCGACGCCAAACCCGCGGCGACCGGTCCCGAGAAGTCCGACGCCTCTCAGAGTGAGTGGACTCGTTGGGGGGGTGGTGTTGGGCTTCGGCCCAAACAGATGTGGCTGTGGATGTGATAGAGGGCGCATCCCGAGCTTCCAAGAGTCATGGCACGACGAGCTAGACTCTAGACGTGACTCCTGGTTTTCTGTGCTCTCTGGTGAGACGGAGCCTGGTGGACGATTTCGTGGGACGAGAGGGAACTATGTTGGCCTGTTTTTAGACATTCAAAGATACATCTACATCATGGTATACAAGAAGGCAAACTGGATTTGTCTCGAACTCTTTGTAGGATCCATGATTCTCTTAACTGAACCCTGGGCCCCCATTGCAAGTATCACAAGATCAGCTAGAGTTAATCGTTTCAATCATTGTCCCACCATGAATATCACTAATCCAAAGATGCACATTATATATATATAATATGTAATTTCGCCAACAGCTGCACAATGTTGCACAGTGCATTTGGTCTACACTACATTGTCCACAGCTCTTTCCTGATTTGCTTCTCGCCTCGTCAACGATCCCAGTTAAGGATGTGGGATGCGGATGACACCGAGCAGGATTTCAAGGCAACTGGTTGATTCCAGAGTGTCGTGTCAGACTGCAGGCACGAGTACCCCTCCCACCCAGTCTGGCCTTTTATACCAGTTGATTGATAGAGGGGATACCCTCCCACAGAGGGGATACCCTCCCACTCGTGTCAAAACGAGACCTGTCACTGGTGCACCTTCGCCCTGTGACCGTCTCCGACGCCTCGCACGGCGGGAGCCGCGGAGCCGCGGAGCGCTGGAAGCACGGCCTTTGGATTTTAGTGAGAAGAAAGACCAAAGATAAAGGCATTCTTGGTACCAGGAGTATTCGGCGTGTTGCTATACATTCCCGTTACTCAAGAATGCTGGGCGCGAGCCGCACCGCTGGTTGAAACTCCTGCACCATTGGTTTGTGTAGCGGCAGCGATGTTCGTAGCCCCGTTCGTAGCGTCCGAGTAGCTCCGTTCGGTTCGCGATGCCCTTTGTTCCGTTCGTAGCGTCTTCGGATTGGATTTTATCACTAATGCCGATGCCACAGTATTCAGTTCGTGCCGTTTGTCCTGTTTCCCATTATGATGGAAAACACGTGGCAACTTGCTGTCACTACCGTGAACATGTTGATAAATTGAAATGACCTCTTCTGTTGCTTTTGTTGGCAGCAAGACATCCTCTAAGAATTTCACAGTCATCTTGATTGAATGCCATGACCAAACGTGAAAGACACATGACAAGATGGGTCACCAAAAACTGATTGGTGTTCCCCTTTATCCATGCCAGTGCTTGCCCAAACATGACAGCATCAGCTCCGTAGTCAACGTGGCCACCAACACATCAGGGTTGATGTTTTAAGTTTTGGAATCAACAGACTCTTGATGGCATGGCATGGCATCACTGGCAAGGCATTCTCCTCTTCCTTTGGGTGAGTTTTCCTTTTTTCCAATAAACGGTTTTGTTTTTTGTTGCGGTTACTTGTTCAGTCAATGGGTCGACGAGGGAGAGCGCAACCTTGACCTTCGAAACTGACCTCGGTCACGGTCATTCGGCCAATGGGAATGCTGCCTTCGTGGTGCTGGAAACAGACAGCTCGGATTTGCTGAGCCCAAAGAATGGCCATAGCAACGCAACTGTATTTCCCTGCCAGGTGAGGGTTGTTAGATTTTATCAGACCTGTCAACTCCGCCTTCTCCTTCCTTCGGCTGCGAGCTCCAGAGTGCAGTGGGAACCACCGGACCGGAACGGCGAGCGCCAGATCGCAGTGGGCACCACCGGACCTGACAGATAGAATGTTAGCATGTTTGCCAGATAGATAGAATGTCAGAGTTTTTTGCCAGAAAGAATGTCTTAATAAATGCCAGAAATCATGTCAGAGCCTTTGCCAGATAGACTGTCTTAAATTATGCCAGAAAAAGTGCCAAATAGAACACCAGAATACATTCCAGAAATAATGTCCGAATATAACAGAAGGAAGGCCTGAATATATGCCAGATAGAAAGCCTGTACTTTTGTAAGATGGACACTTTCTTGGTGATGTTGAAGCAATATAGCCGTCGGCTATCTGCAGAATAAACTGCGATGGTGGGCATCACTCCAGTAAAGTAATTGTCTTTTTGGCTGTTTCCCCGTGGTTTTGGTGGGTACTGCTCTGTCAAGAGCTGTTAGGACAGGGCTGCTACCCAAAGGCCCTAAGGGCTCAGATTCGGTTGACGTGTGAAGTGCGGAAGGTTTGTCAGTTTGATATTCGCCGGGGAGTCTAGTCTAGAACTAGGAATACGTCCGCGAATAATTCTTCAAGTTGCTTATGCCACGGCACTATCCAAAAGGAGTCATGCACAGTTGTCCATGTCCGTGTGAAACGAGACATTTGGGACCCACACACACACAGAGATTGATTCTAGACCACGCATTGCAGAGGCTAAAGCACCCAAGGCGTTTGCAGTCGGAAACGTAGTCTGACAGACTCTTTCACACCACTAGTTTGTTCCACTGCTTTGGCCCTGAAGAAGCGGATCAGCGAGCTGTGTTCTGATGCCAGTTGGGGACAAACCAGGAAAAACATGACATCGTCCGCTGACACACCTGCACGTTTCTGTTGCTTCAGTGCGCAAAGATCGTTGAGTGCAGACTTGACATTGGCATCTCTGTGTTTATACTCATTAAGCGGCTGGTTTCCTGTGTGTGACACTGCATGTGCTGCACTTCCATAGTCATCATAGTCCAATGTTGCGCAAGGATGCTTTTTGTTTGCTTAGTGCTCCATTGCGAGTGGTAACGTATCGTGGTATTGTTGTCAAAAGATACCTTTCGACAGGTGTCCAAGTTAATTTGGGTTGTTTTCAGTTTGTGTGGTTTTCCAACGGTTTTTAGTGCCAAACTGTATCACTTGTTGGTCGACACGGTTGAGTGTTTATTTCTAAGGAACGTTTTTTTTTGAACAGTCTGGGTTTCTCATCGTTGGTGGGTGACGGATTGACCAGTCTGACGGCTGACGCCCTTTTTCTCAATTTCCTCCGGAAATTTGGAACCTTTCGGATCCAACGAGCACGTGTTGGCACAAAAAATGTTGTTCATGTGTCCGGGGTCCAACCCCTGGATTTATGTTGGGTTGTCAGCTCATTTTATGTATAACATTGTTGAATATACATATATTGTTTATGTTAAATATATATAATATATCTAGATACATAATATATCATAATATATGTTTGTAAGTATTTTTGTTTTTGAAGTATGTCCCTGGTGGGTGCCGCGGTCCGCCTGGTTTGCCTGTGTTTGGGGCAGCTTACGAGGCCACCATCCCAGACCGTTCGTATGCGGGTGTGTTCAGCGCGACTTGGATCAGAGGTATTCCTGCACGGGAAGACACGAAACAACAAATAAAAATTGGCATCCACAAATGTGAGTTTTGGGAACAGGTCTTGAAATTGTTGGATTTTTGTTCATGATCAAACATTTGTCAGACCATGCAATCTCTATTTTTAGGCGGTCTAGATCTAGGTCACAAAAGGTTTTAAAGGGATACTATTCGAAGTGATTAGATAAATTAATTATTGATACTGAACCATTTGCAATGTCAACCCTATGTTTTCCTGATGAAGGTGGCCTGTTTAACTGCCTGTTTGATCTAATGGGTTGTTCCCCCCCACCCTGTTTCAGTCACCCAATTAATGCCCATGTCACCACCCGTCTCAACGATGGTGCAGCGGATGTCCAACTATGCTCGAGTCAGGAATGTATCGAGTTCTGCAAGAAGAACGGTGCCTTTGATCCAAAGACCATGGGCGCTTGCCCCAACGTTGGTCTCATGGCGCAGAAGGCGCACCGCATAAGACGTGGGCCTCGGGTTGTTCGAGAGCGCGGTGTGTGATGTGTAGCGCGGAAAGAGAGGGAAAGCGGGGTTCCAGCAGAAGAAACTAAATTCACTAAATTGCACAACCCCTACATTGATTTAGCTGGAATGGTAGACAAGTGATCATACCTGGACCTTCCTGTCATGGTGTCCAATGGACATCCATAAGTAGTTTATTTAAGGTATTCAATTGGAGACTGCTTTGAAGGTGCTGATAGACCAACTGTGAGGGGGCATTGGTAGATTGATGTATTGGTTCGGCGTTTGTTGTTTTCTGGGGCAACTTTGCGGGCACGGATGTGGTTCCCTTGCACCAGCGCACCATGTGGTTCGTGTGCACCAGCGCCACGAAGCAACTCCAGGCGGAGGAGTATGGTTCCCATCCCACCACCTTCGAGATGAAGGCTGGGTGGAAGGGCAGGAGGCCAGCCAATGTGCTGATAAGTCTGATAAGTTTATTTTGACATTCGTGAGTTGGTCAGGGACTTTGGCTTTATGGACATGGAAGAAAAACAACAGTTTCCTAATGGAGCTAATCAGTACAATGCACTGCCAGAAGCATCGGAGCTACTTCGAGGAGGTCACAGGTGTGTTTTCTGAAGAATCAGGAGAAGCTGAGAGACATGGGTAGATGTTGGTGATGTTTGATAAGCCTTGCTACGACAAGGTGATTGGAACTCTACCATCCTCTGTAGATCCTCTATAGGGTTTTTTTGTAGATTACATAGTATGATGACATCGAAACGTAGACTATGTCCTAGTTAATGGAAAATGGCTACTAGAGTGTGCTTTTACCTGATGAGTTGGTGGGCTGTCCTGAAGGAGTTTTGAAGCTGCAGATATCCCAGATGTCCACAGGATTCATTTTTTCATGACGATGCGAGCCGCGTCTATGGGTTGATGAAGTTCGAGAGGGCAAAAGAATGATCAACTGCTTTTATCCAAGTTATTTTTAGATGTTATACCGTTATACCCTTGGACGAACACATCACATGGAAGTGGAGCCGAAAAAAAAATGGTTCCCTCAAAGAGGACTTTCCCAAGACCAAAAACAGGTGGCTTTTCAACTCCTCGTGATGTGTTCGTCTGCACATGGATGCAGCCTCACTCGCTGGAAAATTCGGACCGTCTGTTCGACGCATGGTTCTCAGGTTTGCCGGGAAAGGTCGGTCTATTGAGTCGGTCCAGTCCTGTCCGAGTCCTGTCCGAGATCCCTTCGCGACCTGCGGAGCAGACCTGCGGAGCAGGAAGATGGCACCATTCGCATCGTGGAGATTGGAAGCGGCAAGGTCTTGCTGGGTCATCGGGTGCAGAAGGGTGAGCCTTGGATTGCAAGATGCATTTCTTCGAAAGATCACCATGTTGTGTTTGGCTCTTTTTTGGGGGGGGACCTGGTTTTTCGTCTATTCGAATTCTGTTCTTTCATTCAGTTCTTGGGACTTGTTTCCTAAACCCTGCAGCCTCCCTGCAGCTGGTGTCACAGTTCGGGCACCGTCTTGGCCATCTCCAGGGCGAAACCCCCCATCTGGTCCGGTCGACGCGCTCGACGTGAAGAGTCGAGGACATTTGGCGCTCTTGCCAGACGAAGGACGGGACCGGAGCTAAAACGAGTAGAATGGGGGGAGGGATGAAGAGGCTATACTTTTACCTCTGTATAGCTCAGAATGCTAGAGGAATGTGTTTGATTTGTATCTCATTATCTTCCTTTGAGCTCGAACGGGCTAGTTCTTGAAACAGATGGAAAGTGGAGGACCCATCTCTCCCGGCTGGCCTACCGTTTCAAAGCTGGGTGGGGTGGGTGGAGCAGTTCGAACTACCTGAGGATGTGCTTGGAGCCTTAGGGTATGGACCATGTCCCGCGTATACCTACACTTCGTGTCCCACGTTTCCGGACCGAACGTGTTCGCAAGAACACTGGGAGAAACACCGCGAGGTTGCTTTGCGAAAGTGATCCGTCACATTCGGTCACCAACTCAACTACTTGGAAGATTGGCCCCCCCAAACCACCCCAATGTATAGGCATAGTGGTATGTAGGCGTAGATTCATATTCCATGTATTGTGTCATGTTTGACATGTGGAAACACAAAGTACGTGAAACACTCAGTTAGTATTTGAAACATCATGAAACCTCCGGTTGCCACTGGTTTTGGTGTTTGGATTTGGGCGTCCACTCTTTTCGAGTCACCGCGAGTCACCGGCAAGTCCAACCATCGACCGGTGCGGTCGAGTGCAGGATTTGCCCATCAAGGACTGGGTGAAGTTGGCCGTGCACAGGCGCGCGTCACGTTGCTGGGAATCCGAAAACGAGAGGAGACGAGAGTCCGACTGTGGGAGTTTGGGGAGAAGATCCGTTGGTTTAAACAACGACCAGGTGATGGTTTTTGAGGGATTTCCCAAAAACCATGATGGTATGAGGCACGTATATCATGCTCAGTGTGGTGGATACTGGTGGTGAGTTCAACCCTTCAAACAAAATTACTTGTACATGTATTCAACAGCTTTTACTTCTAAGCTTCGCGCCAAAGGACATAGACGCTCATGTGGGTTGGTTGGTAGGATATCGTCATGTAGGACATGTCCTACCATGTCCTACCTAGGCCACTGAAGCACTTCCTAGGCCAAGGTCTCATCCTAGGCCGCGGTCTCGAACACCGCGTTAGATCCTCGCATGTCCCCGAACACGGTCCGTCGCACGCAAGCCTTTTCTATCCATGCTTTTGTCTTTTTGGACTATATAAAAGCGTATTTAAATAAGTGCCCGCAAGATTCTGTCTTACAGCGTTGACTCTCTTAGGAACCACTCGTGGGTCACTCTATGTCACATGTTGTGGATAAGTTAACGACTTATGATGAGTTTTTTAGTAGATAGATCTAGTTTTAGTTTGCACGTAGTTCTTGTGTGTGCATAGTATGTGGCAGCTCTATGTTGTTGTACTTCATACGCTGGCAGGTGCAGGGAGAACAACTTCCCCAAGAACGACAAGCCTTGCACCTCGAGCCGCAAGACGGGTCAGATGCCACCAGAGCAGAGCTGCATATACCCGTTTCCGAGGGTGGAACAACATGAGGGAGGAAATAGTTAGTTGTTAACTCAGAGGGTGGGTTGAGTGGAGCAGAAATCGGTGCATGTTTACCTCCTTTTGGCGATCAATATGCCGTTTTTATGTTCTCAACCTGGTTTGAGCGGCAAAAACCATATTTTAAGACTCTTCATTTTTTTCAATCGGTGCCCGTGACGACACCCGTAGGTAATCCGAAACGAGTCCACAGGCCTCGAACCAATTCCAGGACTAGAGAGGGGGGGTGAAGGCCTGGATTCGATCGCGATCGTCCAGAGCCATTGGGGTGGTTGAAAGGGGGTCAATGCAGGCCTATGTGCACTTGTTACTAATAGCTTCTTGTTAATGCAGGCCTATGTGACAGACATGGAGTGTTTGGGAATTGTCTTTGATCTGACGCGTCATATTTTGGAGTTTCCAGATACATTCGTCGTGTATCGGTGTATACACCCGATCCCGCAGCTGCTTGCTCCCGTCAATGTCTCATGGACTGCTGGCAGTCGCTCTCGTCTTTTTGGCAGTGCTTTCCTCGCCAGTTATATATATATATATATAACTTTGAGAAATTCCGAACTGTTCGATCCCGGCGCATCTCAACCGCATCACTCCCCCCAAGGCAAGGCCATCTTTTGGTTGGACCCTGCTCGCTCTCACGACTGCAACATCATCGCGAAGGCCGGCCGATTCAACCGCGTGCGACGCGCAGTGCGCGCGTTGTCAAGAGCTTTCTTTTCTTCCACGTGGGGTGCTTTTACTTCACGTTGGCCAGCCGCGGGTTCGGGGTGGTCTGAGGATGTTGTCGGTGTTTGGTGGACAAGTTGTTTGTGAGGATGTCCTGTTCGCCGGAGATCGCTCGCAGTCAAACACTGGACACGCAGTCAAGTGCTGTGGACACGCAATCTTTGGAATCACAGGAAGAGATTGCTTCGTATCGTTCGCTCCAGGTCCAGGTCCATCCAGCTCCCCAAAAATACAACATCATCGACTCAGACCCTCGAATACCCTCCAATGGAACGTCCACTGAACCCACACCGAGCACTTATACGTGACACAACCAAAAAATAGCCCACTTCTTGGGAAGGGCACGGAGTGGTAGATCTTGGAAGAGTTGGGATTGTCGAATGCCAACTGACAGGTTTTGGACGTTTGCTTCGCTCAGATTTGTGCTCGGCTAATTATTTGAGGGTCTTCCTGAGCACTAGCTCTGAGTTCCATGGATGGTCTGGCATAGGTGTTGAAGTACCTTCCGGAGTACGACACCAAAGGCCTGGACATTGAGATCATGAGCCCTGCAGAGGCGACGGCCGGGCGGCGGTGGAACCGGACAGCGCTTCCAAAAGCTGTGTGACGAAAAGCGCCATTGAAAAGGCTCCACACTGGCGCCACATGTCCGCCATGGGCCGCCATGTTTTTCAGGGTGTCCCTTTCAGCGTCCGGGTCCTACCCCCCATGACCAGCTTTGCAACACACAGATAGTTAAGCAGAAGACAACTGAAGGACTCTTGAGGACTTCTTCAGGTCGTTTCTTCGAGCAAGGGAAGCGTGCGACTATGGGCACCTAAGGTCACCTTTTATTCCCCAAACAGTGTGGGCACACTAGGTGTTCTTACGGGAATAGAAAAGCAGCTGATGCTTAGATCGCTGAAGCGCGCGGGCGTGTGCGGCTAATTCGCTGCTATTTACAGTACATCTTTTCGTGGCAGGCGCAAGGGAAACCTCGTGTTTTGGTGCTCCAAAGTCGACTTTTCGTGACAGGTGCAAGGGGTCCACAGCACTTGGTGAACCTCGAAGTGCAGATTTCGTGGCAGGCACAGCGCTTGGTGAACCTCGGAGTGGAGATTTCGTGGCAGGCACAGCACTTTGTGAACCTCGAAGTGCAGATTTCGTGGCAGGAGCAGCACTTGGTGAGCATCGAAGTGCAGATTTCGTGGCACAGGAGCAGCACTTGGTGAACCTCGAAGTGCAGATTTTGTGGCAGGTACAGAACCTCGAGGTGCAGATTTTGTGGCAGGCATAGCGCTTGGTGAACCTCGAAGTGCAGATTTCGTGGCAGGCACAGCGCTAGGTGATCCTCCAAATGCAGATTTCGTGACAGGCGCAATACTTTGTGAACCTCGAAGTGTTGCTTTCGTGGCAGGTGCAGTACTTTGTGAACCCCGAAGTGCAGATTTCGGCGCAGGCGCAGCACTTTTGTGCTCTCAGATGCTCACTCTCACTCTCTCACTCTCACTCTCACCGTCACTCTCACTCACACTCACACTCACTCACTCACTCTCACTCTCCCTCTGAGTTCCCTCTCACTCAAACTCTCACTCACACTCACACTCACTCACTCACCACCACAGCCACCGTCACCACGATCCCCACCTTCATTACCACCATCACCTCTTTGGACCCCAATGCGTCTAGATCTCTACACTTTCTGCTTATAGACCTCACACACACACTGTTTGGGGTCTCTTGCCGGGATAATTGGGTGGATTATGGTGGATTGTTTGGTGAACACCATGGCAGCCATGCATGCAGATGCAAAACACCGGCATGTTGGGCGTCTTCTGGACGTGGATGTAATTGAACTGCCTCCCAGCTGGATCTGAACTGCCATGTGCCGCCATGAGATCCAGATCTTTAGATTCCCTATGAGACAGATCTTTAGATTCTTTTGGGGATGTGATGTGCCAACATGGTGACGACACATGAATTCAGATCTCTTCTGGCATGCGCCCACGTCTCGACATCACCAGGCCATGCGGGTGACCTGCGAACGTGCCAAGCAGGGCTTGAACACCATCACGGTCACAGGCCGATAGTTCACACGTGGAAGACATCTTTGCTTCGCGACGGCGACGGTATACAGGGCACCGGGAGAACGGGTGAATGAAAAGGAAAGAACATATATACCTAGCACTTCCGAAATGGGTGCCCTGTCTGGAGACCTATAAGTAGGGTAGGGTAGTCTAGCCAAGACACCCAGACAGGATGATCTTGGTACCAGCAGGCACAGTTAGTGCCCTGTCACATCCACGGCCCCTGGATGGGACGAGCCACACCACCCCAAGCTCTGTGACTTCTGGTAGCTCCTGTTAACAAAGAAACTATAGTATAGAGGAGAGTGGGTGTGGAGATGTTCCCTCCTAAGAATGAGAAGCAGAACCAAAACCAACAAAATACCAATTGGAGCTGATGTGCTTGAGAGTGTCATGAAAAAACACGGAACGATGCCGAACGTGTCGCGCGACTACTGCGCGTGCCGACTGAGGCAACGTGCTGCGCGACTACTTGACTGACCTCTTCCCCATTTTGGAGCTGGGCACCAGTGCAAAGATGTGCCCTGCCACTAAGAAATCGCAGATGGTCCATTTGAGACCGGGGGATCTCATTGGTGAGCTGAAAAGAATCAGAAAAGACTCCGAAACGTTTTTTAAACGTTTCCCATTGGGGACGAAATTGTGGGTCAACACCTCACAAAAACATCCACAAAAAAAACATATACAAAGAATGCACCCCATGGGCTGTGGTGATTTGTGCGCCCCTGTTACGATGAGACGACCGACCGTCGCCATTCTTGGACCGAACCGCGAGGCTCTCGATTGTGCCCATGCTCAGTGGCGGTGGCATGTACGAGACTGGCGCAGGTGGGAACACCACCAACAAGGTCCCGAGATAGCTTGGATATGAGGCAGAGAGCCGCAAAAGCACCTGCTGAAGGCCTTGATTCACTTTATTCTATGGACAGATTTACTGGTATACTGCTTGTCAATACTGGTATATGTTTAATGCTGTTCCATGGTTTCCCATAGTCATTCCATGTCATGTGGATCTTTAAGGTTGCGGATCAAGCGGATCAAGCAAGCCTCTACTCTAGAGAAGTAGACTGAAGTAGAGTTGACTCTCCGGGCTAATGATTGCGATCTTGGAGTGTTATTGAGTTTTTAGAGCGGCCATGGCCATGAACGTGTCATTTCGGCAGCTGAATGGCGAAACCATGGATCTTGAAGTCATGCCAGAAATCACTGGTCGGGAACTCAAGGAGCAGATTAAGGATCGCCAGCTTTGGGATGACGAACTCACGCGGAAAACAACCCGGGTTGAATTTCTCGTGGGGCCCAGCAGATTGCTGACGAACGACGAGACAGCTGCAGATGCAGGCCTTTCTCCAGAATCAGACGTGACTGTATTATTGAAACAAAACGCTGTGACCTGCTCGGAGTTTGAACAGTTTGGCCATGAATTTGACTTGGAGTCTTTGTTTGTGGTTGAAATCCCCAGCGGTGCCACTGAAATTGTCAAAAACGCATTCAGCGGATGCAGAACTCTAGCAAGGGCGACCATCCCGGACTCAGTGACCGATATTGGGCCTGACGCCTTTGCAGATTGCAGCTCCTTGGCAAGTGTGACCATCCCCAACTCAGTGACCAGGATTTGCTTTCGTGCCTTTGCAGGATGCAGCTCCTTGGCAAGTGTGACCATCCCTGACTCAGTGACGGAGATTGGGACCAATGTCTTCAGCAAGTGCAGCTCATTGGCAAGCGTGACCATCCCCAACTCAGTGACGAAGATTTGGCATGGAGCCTTCAGCGAATGCAGCTCGTTGGCAAGTGTGACCATCCCGGACTCAGTGACCGAGATTGGTGGTCAGGCCTTTGCAGGATGCAGTGCTTTGACTTTGGTGGTGCCCATGACTCGGACCCGGTGGGAGTTTGGTGCCTTCATGGGCTGCAAACGCATTCTAGCAAAAGAATGCAAATGTCAAGAGTGCCCATACGGATGGTTTCTGGATGGCTGGGTGTGTCCTGCCGCCGCGGAGACTGAAACCGGCCAATGAGCACAGATGACTCGAACTTTGCTTTGTCGTTAGGAGCAAACGGAGCAATGCCAGTTGTGGTCTGAGTGCCAACCGGAGAATTGAACTTCTGGCCAAAAGAATGGAACACCATGTTTCTGTGCAAGGATGTTCAAGGATACAACATGTGGATAATATTGTGACAATAGGTTCTGTACAATTGCTAGCTCCTGGATCAACCATCCTCCGCTATTTCCACCATCACTGCGTCATGAGCACTCTTTCAACCCATGGCCCAAAGCTCAGTTCCTTGGAATGGCATGGTATGGCAGAACTGTTGGTGAAGGCCTCTACAGTCCCGGCATCCAGGACGTCTGACCTTTTTGAAGTGACATCGCCTGTTTGTGAACATCCAGTGAATTCTCCTGACGTCGGTCAAAGAACGCAGCTGGATCATCCACTTTCATCACACACAGCCAGTTGCCTTCAAGACCGAAACATGCGAATGGCCTCAGCGAACGCGAGTTCACCACAGTGGGAGACCAGTGACTCGCGACTCGAGGAACCTTCATTGGATACATTGAGCTCCCGAATCATATAGAGATGGGTGTGTGTTTGAACCTCCCAACCAATGTATTCTAATAGGAAAATGGATGGACATGAGTCATAAGTGTGGATTTTCAATAGAGACATCCCCTTTCTCGCCCCGGGCTGGGTGTCGACTGGTCGGCAGGTGACCATAGTATTACATGGAAGTCTTTGGGAGATTGACTTCGCATCGTCCGGCATCTGCTTCTATCTTCTCCAGGCGGCTCTGCCCCGAAGCACGTGCAGCAGTTCACCAAGGTGACGATGGTTTCTTCGGGTGGGTCGAAAGGGCGGTCGAGTACACCGGCACATCAAAAGGGGCGACGACCGTTACAAGGATCGGATTGAGTAATGATTCTTTTCTCACGTTTACAACAAGCAATATAATACTCAATTCAGGGGAATACCCTAGAACTATCTACAACTACTACCATGAATGTTCATTGGCACAAGTAGTGTCGGCTGGTTTGCTCCTGGCTGGAATAGCCTACACGACTTCTGGATGTCCAGCCAGGACACCTATGTATACCAACACATATAGCTTAAATGGGGTCTCCAATGGAACCGAATCCCAGACCATACATATCAAATGAAAAGCACACCAGCATTTTCCTTCAGGCAAGGGTCTCCTGGCTGGATTTTTACGACGTACGTAGATCTCCATGGTCCTCCCAAGTCTAGGAAGGTACCGATTCTCCAAGCTGCAGCGGTGTGGTGTTCCTGGTGGGGGGGGGCGACTCTCTCTCTCTCTCTCTCTCTTTGACTGACCTGATCAGTCAGAGGAGTGTGCGAACGACCGTGAATGCACGTTCTTCATCCTTTTTCTTGCGAACGATCGGTGGACAGGATGCCGGTTGCATGGCGAAGGTTGATATGACAGAGCGGTCGTGGGTCTAGACCCCGCCTACTGTACGCCGGGAACATCCGGGAACACTTCAAGGTTCTTAAGCGTGGCATGCGGTACGCCAACCCGTGTTGTGTGAGGATGGAGAGCGGTCGTGCTGTTGTCCTTGGAAACTGGAACACTTGCCGCTTACAGCGTCGCAGCCACTGAGCCTATATCCGTTTGTGCAAGGTATACCCTGTGTGCAGGATGTGTTGGAAGTGCTCTCAAGCGAGCTGATGGTGAGTTGGGGTATCATTTCATTGACAAGTTCACATGCAGTTTAGGAATATGGTTTGAGTGCTGATTCATATCCGGATGTCACATCCACCAAAAAAGAACTTTGAAGATTCCTGAATTCCCAAACGCTGTGGCACTGCTTAGGGATTTCTTGCATTGAGGTGGTGGGAACATGAGGAATCAACGACCTGCTCCCCTGTACCCCATGGTTTGCCTGTGTCTTTGGACATTGTTCACCAACAAATGTCACAGCCCGACCTGAGATGCCTTTCTCGTGAACTCTTTTTTCATTGTTGCGCAGCCCGACATCTTTCGGGGCTCAATTCAGTGATTTATGCTCTTGTTGTTTCTACACTCAAAGGTAGGCATGGACAAATAGACATTTTATCCCTAGCCTAGGGCTCCTCGCCCATATCCTCAGGTTCAGTGTTCTATATAATCACCCCCCTGGCACCCACCCCAAGCACCTTCTCAAGGGAGTAGGTAGTTGCAGCCCATCCGGGGCGGCCCGATTCTCCCATCCCACCGGAATAGACCTCGCAGGAAGGCCACCTCCGCTGGGACTCGTTAGGCGACGAGTCTGTGGTGGTCGGATGCAGAGTGGGTTCCCAAATAGAGCAGTTCATGCAGAATTGGATGTCACTCTCGGCTGGGGGTGGAGAAACAGTGCAGTGCATCGTTTTGTTTGGGGGGTGTTGGTTGGTGAAGATCATCTTCGTTTCTACCAGGACAATCCTCAGTTGGTCAGGGGGGGCCTGTCTTGGTGGCTATAAACAGGTGTCCATGAAGCAGCCCTGTAAAGGCTCGAAACACACAGTGTGTCTTGTTTTGTCATGATTCGAGGTGAAGTAGGTAGAGGGGCAAGTTTTGAGCAGAGAATAGCAGAGACCTTGCTTCCTGGCAGCCATCGCTTAATGGAGCCGCCAAGCACCATCTAAGCTTAATATGTCTCGTGATGTGCTACTAATACTAGATAATACTAGTATTATGTTTGATATGAAGCAAGATATACTGTGCAAGTCTGATATTGAAGAGTATCATAGCATGAATGTGTTGAGTGTATCCTTCTCTTTGCTGTTTACAGGCAATTAAAAGTTCCAAGATTGAAACTTTTTCCACTCCACGAGCTACCCACCTATGCCATCCTCTTCTCAATTGAGTATACACGGCCACACTTCAGGGAATCCACTCTTTTGTGTGTATTTTTCTACGAAGAGAAGTCGGAGGCCACAGTCCAAGTTTGCGCACGTTCAGAACCAGTCACGCAGGCCCAGACTCCTTCCCGCAATTCGAATGGCAGGCGAGTACTTGGCTTTGAGCTGCTCGATCCAGGTCCGCCGCCAAGAAGAAAATGTATGAACAAACACAGCGGAGGAACAGATAAATACAAGCTAAAGTGAAACATTGGCTTCAAAGCTACATGTCTTGTGGCCGGAAACCAACTCCCAGACCCGCTCCATCTTCTATCGATCTGAATCAACGGTGAAGAGCCGTCTCCCAGCCACGTTCAGGACCTGGCGCGGGACAGTAACAACTCAGCGGCCGCCGTGCTGGCGGAGACCCTGGACAAGGCGGTAGGCACCTTCCTGTGCCTCGACTGGGTCGTGCGCATGGTCGTGGGGAACCCCGCTACTGTTGTAGTCTAAGGATGAAGTTAGAACTCTATGGAATTTAGCTGAACTCTGTTTGGAGAAGTGGGTGTGCTGTCACCAATGTCATAGTTCAATATGTCTATATACATGTCAATACGAATAGCTTTATAGTAGTGTCAGTGTCAATGGTTTGTGAAGTTGTTGAACTATGTTGCTAGGATGTGCATATATTCTGAAGCAAGTTAGGGAATCAAAGACCGGGAAGCTTGCACTTTCGGGGTTGAACGGGCAGCCTGAATGTTTCATCCGCGTCAATCCTAAAAGGCCAGAAGACGTTTTTGTGTTTTTGTTTCGCACTTTTCGAGACATGAGTCGTCGGTCCTTTATGTCCTATATAGTCTATACATGTCTATACTATAGTGTCTATGTGCCCTAAACTATATTGCATGCATGCTTAGCGAAAGAACGATATGGTCTCAAGTCTCTTCCACCGCTTCGACATGCACGTTCGCGCCGCATGTCGACCAATCATGTCGATCATAGATCGGTGCCAAAGCAAACACTCCTGTCAGGTGTCAGGTGTCACCATGTTTGGGGGTTTCATTCGTCCCAAACACACGGATGTGGCGATGTGACGTCGGCCACAGACCACCTACCGGTGGAGACCCTCCGCTGGAGACTGGTGTCTCCAGCGAGGCCAACCCAAATAGGATGCTCCAGATCGACACAAAGTTGGATTCCGCGAAACATGCATGATTCCACCAATGAATGCGCGTTTGGCACATTCTGTTGTTTCTTCTTCAGAACATGGCTGCTTTGGATTTCATCTCCCACATGTTACAATCGTAATTGGAGCAGCACTTCCGGGCCATCCTGCAAAGTCTCAAGGGGCCCAGTCAGAGCATCGCAAGATTTCGTTCACAGGCCATCCTGCTTCACCTGGGATCTCATCAGATATACTCGTGGACAAAGATATATAACTTATATAACCACAACATAGTGGATTGATCGGATTGGACAGTCATATTCCGATCCAGAGTCTTGGGATCCGTCCTCGACGGATCTCACCGAGCGGTGTACCTGAGGAGTGCCAACAAGAACCCCTCCAGGAAGGTCAAGGAGATCCAGTGTTTCGATGTGTTTCTTCTCCCCATCTTCCCTCGGTGTGCCAAGACTCTAAGCAGGAAGACTCTAAGGCCAAACAACGGACGTGTCAACAGAAGGAGTTTGGTGCGTTTGGTGCTACGATAGCAACTGTTTCTTGTTTTGGACAGACAACACCTCTGTGAATGCTCATGGATTCGACAATTGGGTGGATTTAGAACGTTGATGGCGGCCATGCCAACCATGCCATCCTCCAATCACCAAACGGACCATCACCACGGGAATCTGGTCAAACAAAATACATTCGCCACTGGAATCTTGAGCATATGGCATCGAGTAGTGGCATCGAGTGCAATTGCTCCACATATTAGGCTTCGACATGCACATGTTTGTCGGGAGTTTGACAGAGTCTTAGGATAATCACAAGTCCAATGATGAACTTTATTATTGCCAACCAACTATAGTGGATATTTCTGCGCAGTAGGTTCGATGTTATAGTTTATGTTGATTCCAGTCGCTTTGCCCTTCCGCATCCTTCTACAATCTCTGGAGTGCACCAATCCACAGCGGGTCGCTTCATGATGTCCATGGGAAGTTCAACTCAAGGCCATGGGCGGAAAGCTCATGGAAGTTGAAATAACCCACAAAGCTCCTGTGTTCAATTCGCTGCCACATATTCCCGGGTCGAAACGCGGGAAACTGAGGTGGTCGCATGCGAAAGTGAAGCATCATCTTGTGGCGACGTGCGCATCAAACGTCGCATCCAACGCGACGTCAGGAGATCGACAATCGTGGCAGCCACTATTGGGTGGCGCGCTACTGGGCAGCCGAGTTGGCCAAGCAGGAGTGGGAGAACAGGCGACCGAAGGTCACCGTAGGTCACCAAGTTGGTTCTACCATGTGAAGGGCAGTGAGAAAACACGGGTGAACCGCTGATTTAGAATGAGTTTAGAGAGGTATTTGAGAGGTATCTGTTTTTTCTCGGTGTTTTTGGGGTTTATTTGCACCATGGATTCTTCCATTTCTTCACATGCTAGATTGCCTTTCAAAGCAAAACAGACAAACGGAAATGCTCGTTTTCCCTTAGGTGAGACCGAACCGGACGCAGACACCGACGCGTTGCGCGCGCCCGATCGTCCGGACTTGTGGGTCCGTTCAGCACCGGTGGGTTTGGGGGGGAAAGAAATCAGGTGCCGAAGATGCACATCGACATGTGTCATTCTTTTGCCTAGTGAAGTTATATACACATTAGTTATGCCTAGTTACTATAGTTCATTTTAAATATACAACATGTACGAAGCTGTTTTACATCCAACGCACTGGAAATGACATGCGGAGGACAAGGATGCGAAGCTCAAACAGACCTTTGAGAAGTTCTCCAAGGAGGGGATCTTGTCTCGCAGACCTGGTCACCACGACTGGGGCAGTTCGTGCATTACAAAACGGAAAGAATCAGGTCGATCAGGTACAGGACCAGAAACTCAACAAGTAGACACCAGTCCATTTAGTCCTTTTTCATCCTTTTTCTATGTGTCCAAGCATCGTGTCCAAACATCTATATTATAGTATCTGCATGTAGTATACTATTCAGATACTCTATGTCAAACTTCTGTATGTCAGCCATGGATCACTGGGCGGGTTCAGCCAGTGTCATGACTCTGCGATCGACCTGGAAGTTCCACTTCGAACAGAACGATTTCTCCACCGGAAGCTCCAAAAAGGAATTCTCCTGGTTCCCTACAGGTGCATGGAAGTTTGGAACCAAATCCACCGGTTTCTTGGAACCCACAGGACTCAGTCCGCGAAACGCCTTCGGTCGCGTCCGCCCAAATTCTTCTCCTGCTTGAGGAACTCGAAGAGTCCGAGGCGACCATTTTGAAGGCGCGAGTCGAGCCGGTCCAACCGTTCAGCGTTTCGTTCGGCCGATCGCAGGTGTGTCCCTGAGTCGAGGGGTCGGACCAGTCGACGAGCGGTCACCTCTTGGTGAACAAGGGCTGCAACCTAACCATCATCATCCACTGTTACTGGTAATAGGATTTTGATATACTCAACAGTTGGATGTTGGTTTGTTTGGAGCGTTAGACTGGAACGGAGTGGGATTGGAGATGTCTTTGTTGCGCGCCAATCAACAGCACTCGATCCCAAACCACAAGGAGAAGTAGTAAGTGGACCAGGGAGGAGTCGCACCTCCAAATCAATGCTGAAATCTGCAGCTGCAGAGAAGCAACGCCTTACCCATTTGGCCACTGGCCCCTTGCCGCAAGTGCGTTCACTTTAAAACAACACCAATTAAGCCAAACTGGCGCCAAGAGCCCACTTGTGTCTAGGGACCATGGATTAAGGAAGAAACACATCCATAATAAAGGCGTGCTCAAGAGCCAGCTGCAAGCGCTGCTGTTGCCCCCCCTGCAGTTGGGGCGTGTTTGAGAGGTTTTGCAGGTTGGTGCAGATATGTTTCAGACAGAGGCCAGGGTAATGAGGTTGGGTTCGAGAGGGATGCGGTCAAGATTGAATGTTTATCGAGACACCTGGAGTCTCAAAGTACTTCTGATAAAAGGTATAATCGATAAAGTGTTTAAAGGATTCTAGGATTCTATTGTGCTCCGCAGGCTCCAGGCAGATGAATGCCCCGCCCAGTCAAAGCTTTGTTTGCCATGCATTCCTCGGATTTGGGATGATTTTGGGGGCAAGAGACTTCCATGAGTTGAGCCTGTCATCTGACCATGTCATCTGCGGAGTGCCCCCATGTGCCCCCGTCTCAGCACCGTCTCATCGTCCGGTACGTCGGTGACGTTCGGTCCAGGACTTCGTGGATTGCCAGGGATCGCCGGTGGAGATCGGCGGTTACTACCGGGTGGATGTCGAGAAGACCAACAAGGACGGACGGCTGGCGGAGATCGACGGGTGTTTGGTCCAGAGCCGAGCCATCTTTGGAAGCCCCAGTCGTCTTGTGTGTTTTTTTGTGTGTGAGCCAGGGAGGTGGTAGAGCTACTAACAGCTATACTACCTGTCAGCTCCTTGCAGGCTTGGTCGCTTCACGAGGCTCAGGCTTCATGATTTGGTTCCTATCATTTTGGTTGGGGTGTTCGGAACTGGTGTTCTGTTAAACTTGTGTCCCACTTCTCCATGCCTGCTGCCCTGTTTCGGAACTGGAGAGGGTAGCAAGGGTAGCAAGGTAGAGTTGGATGAATGCATTCCAAGAAAAGCCAGAACGGACAACCCCTCCCAGCACTGCTTTCTGAACTGTAATTGGATCGAGGTTCCGTGCAGGAAGAATCTGGAAAACATCTTCTAGTCTTGCGCTTTTCCCTGCCTGTTTCATTGATGGATGGTCGCGAGAGAAGAGTACCAACCATACCAGCACCCGACTCTACAGGCCTCCTCCTCTGGTGACTTTTGCAGACTTCAAAGTCGCAGGTGGTGACCTGTGAAGTCGGGTCCTGGTATATAATTGATAAAACTCTTGACTCGGTCGGGTGGAAAAGATCTACGCCGCAGAGAGCGCATGACTTGAGAGGGTTACAGCTATGACTTGATCGATTTCATTGGTTGAGCCTTTGGACTGGACAATCTTTGGAAACCGAAGGGCATTGCTGCAAAGACTGGATGGTCAACATGTCATGTCTTAATCCACAGTTTTGGGTTCAATTTGTTTGGTTTCTCTATAAATTTCTCTTTTCCAGGTCTTGTTCCGTTCCGTTTTGCTATGTGGTCCATATGTTCATCATTTCCTGATGTCCACGCCACAAAAAAAGGATCGCATCGTTTATGTCCACCAACGAAACGGAACCGTCCGGAACTGTCCGGAACCCAGTCTACCGGACGTACCGCGCAGGCCATGAACCCCAGCGCGTGCTTCAACGACATCATCGCGCGATTGGGCCAGTGATCATCTCGGTGCCTGGGCGGAGCGAAGCGAAGGCGAAGGCGGCCATGACCGGGTGGAAGGCGGAAGGGCGGGTGGGCCCCAAAGAAGAAGAGCAACATGAAAAAAACTCAGAATAAAACTAATAGTAAACCTGGGTCTTCATTCTCCTGCTTTTTTCCAGGAGTTTAGGACAATCAGTTGTTCCAATTGGAAAACAGTAAAGTAGGTCGTTTCCAGAAGAAACCAGTTGTATTTCTTAGACTATGATTCATGATGTTCTACACATGCCAGCGCCCTGCACCCTCCTCTCCGGACACCCCCACCCACTGGTGCACAGCTGATGCGCACCATTCACCGACTTCCTGGAGATCATTTTCCCCGAGCACGTCGGGAATCTCAGCTTTGCAGCCTGTTGAATTGGAGCTTATAGCGGCCTAAAAATTTTTGGATGCAGCGTATTGCCTGTGAAAGTGGTGCACCCCCACAGCTTCTTGACAAGCGGCTGCACTTGCCTATAAAATCTTCATCGCTCCATGTTGAAGCGTTGATTGGGTTCAGTCCCCATTCACAATCACCATAACCATCACAACCGGTGTTCTGGAAAGGCAACTCCATAAACATATGAAGCTTTGGTTTGATCCGGAACATGAGGTATCCAGACGCAGCTTGCATAGCTGCCAGTTGTCCATACCCCTGGCAGAATCTGACAGCGAGGTGGTTTGTTTCCTGCTGCTGGGCCCGTGTCAGCCACAATCCCCACCTGTGAAGATTCTTAAAGAATCTATCGGCGGTCTGGAGGGTGTGAACGGCAACTCGAAGTTCATTGTCATGCGAGAAGTCCTGTGTTGGTGTTGGGAGACTGTTAGGTGAAAAGAAACCTACAGCCTAATTCAATTTAACATGCGTACCCACAGCCCTGGGTTCAGTTGACAGTGACACAAAGAGTTTGGCCATAGCCCACCTTGTCGGACATAAAGGCAACCAGCCATTGCAGAACAAGAACAGTATCAAAGCCCTTTCCATTGATTGACGTTGGATAATCATTGGTACTGCTCATATCGAACTTTCTCCACGACCAAAGGCTGCATGCAGTTGTTTTGCCCTGACTAGAGCACCAGCCCATGTATTCATCATAGGCCAGTTCCAAACGGCTGTCAAAAGAACCTTGCCCCCACATGCCTTTGCGACAACACATCACAATCAAAGACGCGGCGAAGTCCACACCCACACCGTGGATGTGGAAGCTGTGCGTGCTGTCAACCAAAATGGTTCTTGGTCCAGCTGACGGCAAATCAAGGAATGGGCTGCGCTCGCCCCCCCTTGAAAGGAGAAGGGCCAGGTCGTAGCCTTCGGGTCTCGGCCTCCTCACTGAAGTCAAACCAGTCCTGCCAGAACTCAACACACCTTGAACTAGACAACAGGGGTCCTACACATGGCTTTTGTTTTATCAACAGACAACTGGGTAACATGTGATTGAAGCATTCGAACACCCCCACCAGTATCCTGACTGTCACACAAGTGACATTTTCTGAGGCAGTTCCATCCCGTGGACAGTCGCCATACCTCACTATCAGGTGGGCCGCCGGTGGGTTGGCTGGAAGAGCAAACCGTTATATATTATAGCCTTTATAAAACAATAATGTGAGGGTTTCACTGGAAGAAAGTCCTTCTAGGTGGACAACTTGGTGAATGCAACTCAACCAAGGTGCGTGTCTCAAATACTTCCAGTCACCCTTGCATCCAACCCAAACCAGATACATGGTGGTGGTCGGATCACCAGGCACCACCTGTCAACCAAGGTGCTCCAAGTCTCTAGGTTTACTTGACACTGACCTACTTTGTCAAGTCCACGAGGGTAAAACATACACAACTATAACTTAGAAACTCGCCTGAAACCCTTCGTGAAAAAGCTCCAGCAGCTCTTCAGTCCAAGCCCGGTTGATTTGCATCAAGGTTTTCTCGCCGCAAAAGGCAGATGCCGACATGCAGGTGTACAGAAACCTGCTGCAGAAAGATTCCCTCAGAAGTTGTCCAGCCCCTCGCAGCAAACAAAGGAACCCTTTTCTACCAATTACTCCAGCATAGACCCCAGATAGCAAAAGCATGCGAAAGATTTTTCTAGGCTGCATTGGCAGCAGCTCCAATTTTTACAGCGTGGCGTGTCTCCACTATACGCGAGCATCCGGCACCTCACAGCACCAGCACCGGCGCCCAGCACCCAGCCAGCACCGGCACCGTGTCTCCACCACGTGCGCAGCCAGCTCACGTGCGCAGCAAGCTCGCAGCACCGGCGCCCAGCACCCTGTCTCCACCACGCGCACAGCCAGCCCCCGGCACGCGCGCGGCCAGCTCACAACACCGCGCACAGCCAGCTCACAGCACCAGCACCAGCGCCCAGCACCAGCACCAGCAACCTGTCTCCCACCACGTGCATGGCCAGCTCACAGCACCACACCAGCACCGGCGCCCGGCACCACCAGCACCGGCGCCCGGCACCCAGCACCAGCACCAGCACCAGCAACCTGTCTCCACCACGCGCGCAGCCAGCTCACAGCACCAGCGCCAGCACCGGCACCCGGCACCCAGCACCAGCAACCTGTCTCCACCACGTGCGCAGCCAGCTCACAGCACCAGCGTGCACAGCCAGCTCACAGCACCAGCACCGGCACCCGGCACCAGCACCAGCAACCTGTCTCGAAAGCGCGCACGGGCAACTCGTTGTTATTTGAAGTAAGAATCCCATAGCTTCGCTATCTGGTGAAAAAACATACAAAAAACATGTTATTGGTCTAAACAAACCGAAGCACCCAGATACTGCAGTGCAATGGGTTCCCAAGAAGGAGCAACAAGGCTGCCAACTTTGCACCATAAAGGGGATCCTGCGGTGAGATACCCCTTCATCCCCGTGGGTCATTATGGGGATGCACTGACTCCAAGGTTTGCCACTTCGGTAGATCTCGTGGTCCTTGCTCATGGCTCGGAATCGATACCAAAAGGATTCGAACATCGATCTCCATACAACAGAGTTCTTCAGGTCGTGGCCTCCAAGAAGTAGGCTCGGGTGGTTCTCAAAAATGAACTTACACCAAGACCTGACACTCAGCGTAGGCCAGTGTAAGTCCACATTATGAGGCTTTGGCTTCTTCTTCTTCACTGTGACCCGAGTAAAACTCACGTGGATGTCTATCGAGGCTCCAAAGTTGTGAATGAGCGTAGCGAGATCTCTGCAAGAATTCTTGTTGCGGCTGCACTGGGCAAGCTTCCAGAGTAAGTCGTCTGACTTCCCTGGGCGCACAGCTTACTTAAAGGCCAGGACATGTTCATATGGAATCCCATCAACCCACCCACGACCTACAGGACCCCACAGAATAAATTACTGGCTTGTACAAACCAGGGCTCGGTGTTTCCGAAGACGGCAAATTCTGCTGGCAGACGCTGCAACTTGCTTCGCAGTTGTGGCCTTACACCATCCAATTCAGATTGAAGGCTTTTTATAGGTTCAACTCAAAAGGCACTGTTCATGGCAACGGCGTTAATGTGTCAGCCAAAGTACTCCTTCGAAGTAGTCCGCCAGCAGCTCGCTAGCAACCATATCAGACTCTTCATTGTCAAAGTTCTCCGGTTGACCTGATCAAAGTCATCGAACTGTAAAGTGTTGGTAAAACATGCAACCAAATCATGATATATACCGGAGTGTTCCAATTTGCATACAGCCAAAGGGCTCGCTGAGGGAAAAACAAAGCTTTCACCCTGGGGCTCGAGGGAACCTGGCAAGCAATCACACCACTACCACGTCAAAGTGTTGGGCGGACTGCAGGGGCACTCACAACTGCACGCAGCCCCTTTTTTCTCTAGGGCCACCGGAGGTGTAGCTTCAAAAGCACCAATAGTCGGCAAGGTGCATCTCTACCACATCAAAAAACAAAACTTGGGCTGACAGGACGACAGGTCTCTTACTTCTTCTTTCTCTTCGTCTTCGGTGCATCTTGCTGCTCTTCTTTCTGTTTCTTTGCTTTTCTCTTTTTGGATGGTTTGGCACCACCTTCACCCTCACCCTCACACTCATCCGCTTCCGCGTCAGGGGCGTGCTCATCCTTGGAGCGCTTGCGAGTCTTCCCGGAAGCTTTGGCCTTAGCCTTGGGCATTTTGCAATTCCTGACCACGCATTTTGATATATGATGTGCAAAGGGCAAGCAGTTGACAAAGTACACACATCTCACAAGAGCAAAACCGTGAAAACTAGAGGAACAACGGCCGATACAGCTAGCGCACTTCAGTCTGAGAAACCTTTGGCGGGGTTTGCAGACACGGACCTTTCACCACAGGTAAATGCAATACAAGTCTCTCCGTAAGAGTCAAGCGCAAGCATTTTTGAGCAGCGGACTGATGAGCTTTTCTTCCACAGCCTGCCATAGACAACTGTGACATTTATACATATGTCACACGAGACACACACATATGCAGAATTCACTTTTGTTTTTTACAAAGGCGCTCAAGGGTGGCTCTCAAACCATTCTAGCAAATCTGCACGCGGCCTTGGCGACAGGAGATGGCGTGTGGATCCGAGATGCTTCACCCTGATCAGCCAGGCAAGCAGATCTACAGAGAAATCCGGGAACAGTGAAGAGTGAAGGAAACAAAATCACTGTCCTTCTCCAGAGAATGACCAGGATGTTCAGGGCCGCGCTCTTCAACCTACCAGGAACTACCAACCAATTGACTCAATTGATGGCGCTGCGTACTTGCCAAGAGAACTTGATAGGACACAAAACAAAAAATCCAATAGGATCCTAGCTTGTGTTGGCACTTCCCCCCTTTGCTTGGTCAAAGCATGTGCCATGATGCAAGAACTGCGGGTGCCAAATGAACACGGATTTGGGGCCTGCATTTCTTGCATCATGGCGTGCGCCCCTTACCAAACATAGTGCACTGGCCTCCTCGGGTTTGTTGGTTGGAGCCGCCAGGTGAAGGTTGCCAAAGTCATCCGTCAAACCTAAAGGTTCCGGGAAGCACGGGCTTCAACATGAAAGTTTCAAAGCCTCCTGTCAAGTAACCTGTGTGTAGGTCTTCTAGTACCTCATCTTCTGTTCCAGCTTCGCTTTCAGATCCCTCTTCCTCTTGGTCTGAACCGGATTCCTCCGCAGGAACCTCTTTATGTGGCAGTTTGATGTTGAGAGCCCCAATCAACCACCTAATCTCTGGCTCCCGGGGAGTGTGAGGTCTTCTGATGATATCGTTGAAGAGCGTAACGCATCGCCGCGCGGTCCAGGCCAGCTTGGTGATGGTGTTGCCTCACGAGCGCGCTCAAGGCTCAATGGAAAAACTTGGAGAAGCGAGCAGTGAACACGCACGGAAATAAAATCCAACTATATATATATATTATATATACTAGCTTTAGGCAAGATACTACTGCAGGGTATCTTGCAATACCGAAAGAAGCTATCGATATGAAGCTCAAGAGTGGGAACAGCCACTCGATAACCCAAGTGTGTGATTGTGATCTTCAAGAACTTGACATTTTGCCGAACTGTGTCCCGGCAAACGATAGATCCAGTAGTCTTCACCTGAGTGCAAGGGCAAGCCCATGCCAAAGGGCCAAAGCGATATCGGGATATTTCTCACACTTAATTAGTGCAGTGACGTTTTCCCCTGAAGCCACCAAAAGGCCTGAGCACCACACTAATTGGAACGTTTTGGCAGCACGCCGAAGTTGAACACAATTCTCCCAAGCTTTTGCAAGTGGTGTTGCTTGGAGTTCATCTGGGTCCGCATCGAGATCAAGAAACGAAGCGTTTCCAGCCATGCTACTACCAGTGGCCTTTGCAAAGTGAGCCAAAACTTCTGGTTTGGACAGATGACCATGGGTGTGCTCGTGCAACACCTCCCAACACTGCATTCATGCATGCGGGACAGGCATCGACATTGAAAGTCTCGGGTTCGCCTCGTCTCATTGGAAGGTGGACGCCACCGACCTGCCGCACGGATCAGATCCGGAAAGATGCTGGGCAACTTGGCCGGAACCCCC